GGCCGTGCACCGTCGTGTGCACCGTAATATAACATGTATACCGGCGCCAAGTCCGCTCGGCCGACAAACTGCCGCGAAGTTTTTCTTGCCTACCCAAGCCCGGCCGGGGGCCGCTGTGACGCAAAAACAATTTCTGTGAAATTGATATCAACCAATTTGGCACGACCGCCGCCGAGTTGGGCTTTCATGCCACGATATGCACACGAGGGGTGTCCCGAACGGCGAGCGGGGGATTTTTCGCGCGTGCTCAAGATAAATCGGAAAACGCCGAACGGACACTTCCTTCTTTTTCCCTCTTTCTCCCGCCTCCCTCAGTCGCCTTTTTGCCACTTCGTTTTGAATTTCGACATGTCGAGCATTAAGCAACGATTTTAACGTTGGCGTTCCTCCGCGGCGCCGGAGCTACGTAAAATCCCGTTATCGAAATTACGTTTCCGGTAGAAATTGGACGTCCCGATGAAGCTCGTCGGGGTGGAAAAAGCAGACGATGTATCGGTAAGGACACCGCTCTGCGCCGAGACGGTGAATGATGTATTGGTATTTTTTTAATCAGAGAGGATATATCGTAGCGGAAGTAAAGTCGTTAGGAGTCTATCGATTCGCACGTGTGAACGGTAAATGCTCATTAATATGTTCAAAAATATGGTTACGCTATGATCGTTTGAATTAATATTCAAAAGTTCTGACAGGTTCCAATAAAGAGACAGAAATCTCTCTCTCTCTCTCTCTCTCTCTCTCTCTCTCTGCGCAGAGAAAAATCGTTTCTTTCCTCCTCATCGGCAAAGAGACATTTATCTGCGCGAAGTTCGATATGCGAATGACTGCAGATTCACGGCGGAATCCGGGACGATATTCCGCTCGCGTGGAAACGACGAATCGAAGAATTTATCGCGTTCGCGATATTACAGATGCACGCTTTTGTGTATATTTATAAATCCTCGGGTGTCTCCCCGTACACTACGAAGACGCGTGGAATCCTGTCGCGAGTCCCGATCGCGAGTTACTCTGCGCCCCGTCCGAAGTGGCGCTTATTTATCTGATTTATCTCCCGCCCGGTCAACAAATATTTTCTAACCGGAAGTTTGCGTAGCGTGGCCATTACCTCCCGGCCGGGGTGAGAAAAGTTTTCGCGGCGCTTTCCGAGCGAACGAACGAACGAACGAACGAATGAACGGACGACGGACGAGACGGTATCGAGTCCTCGTATCTCAGCGTTTACGGCCCCGCCGTTGCAAAACTGCGCAAGTAAATCAGAAGTCAATCAGATACGGAGCCCTCCATATCGCATCAATGTCCGTTCGATATCGCCGACATGACAGCGCAATGTGACTGTACTGTGGAAGCATCATACGTCACTGTAGCGCGACAAGACAGTGATTAATCGGGACGATGATGGAGACGGATAGTTTCGAAGTGAATGCGCATCGCCGATGCGACGAAATGGAGGACACCGGTCGTCGAAAATGCTTTAACCGCTCACGTCTGTCCTTTGCTTCCCCCCGCGCTCGCGCTCGTGTCGAATTGTCTAATTTAATCGCTCGACATGACAATCAAATTCCATCTCCCCTTCCCCCCTTCTCTCTCTCTCTCTCTCTCTCTCTCTCTCTCTCTCTCATCTAATTTGCATCTAATCCACATATTATATATCCAATTTACCCGCTCGTACATTTATATTTATATGTACGTTAGCGATATATATTCGATATCGCGTGTATTAGTTTAGCGCGATAATTCTCCCGCAAGGACGAAGCAATTAAAACGCTTTCGTGCGAATGAACGCTGCCGCTGTGCATCGTTATTCGTCGAATCGATCTTCCTGTTTTTTTTTTTTTTCTTTTTTCTCATTTTTCCGCTTTTTCACATGTCTCGGAAACGAGGAAACGGACGTGCCGTTTAACGCTCGCTCGCTCGCTCGCTCGCGTTCGTCGCACAGCGCTTCGCTCGCTCGCGCTTCAACAGCGCGGGCCGCGCGCGACGAAATTGGAATAATCGCACGTAATTAGCATTCGTTGGTAATTAGCACGGTGTACCGCGCGAAGGGGCGCGCCATGGTGTTTCGGTAAACCGATTGCGGCCAATTAAACTAGAAGCGATTCTGTGTGACACACTCGAACGATCCACGTCTCTCGATATCGACCGCCTCGCGCGACGCGCATACAGGGTGATTTGATAGACCGCGACCGGCTAATTCGCGGCGGATCGGTGATTTTTCGTGGGGGAAAAGAAGAACAAAACGCGTGAGATGCATGTGCGAGGGAAAAGGAGAAACCAAGTCGTCGACCCATCAATCCCCCGTCCTCTCTTTCGAAAACCGAGCGCGATTCGTGTTGTCGGCCGCTCGCTCGTGTTCCTTTTTCTTCTTTTCCTTTCTTTCCTTTTGTTCTTTTCACCGGAGAATTCGCAACGGAAGTTTGCATGGCGCTTTACCGGACACCCTGTACACCACCTGTAATGATTAGGTAGGCAGGTAGGTCGCTCGCGCGAGAGCGAATATAGCAGCTGCGTTTCGCGGACGTCTGCGAGATTGACGGATCTGTCCGGTGATCGATACCTGTGATTGACACACACAGTCGCGCGCGTACCGGCGATAATGCCATTTATTCTCGGCATCCTGCAGCTCTCAGCCTCGTGCAATATTCGCGATAACGGACATGTAACTTTCATATTTGAACACCGGCTCCGTCGGCGCGTGTATATTGACTCGAGCGAGCGAGCGAAAATCGAGTGACGCTGAATAAATAACATAAAAAGGAGGAAATTGAATAAAAACAAAAAGGAAAGAGAAAGAACCAAGCTGGGTGGAATGCATTCGTGGGGGGTGAGGAGGGGCGGGTTATTACGTATCCTTGCGGCGACGGCGTCAAGAGATAGAGAGAGAGAGAGAGAGAGGGAATCGAGAGTTTCGAGCGTCTCGTTAAAAGATGGACTCTCACCGCGGCGAGAGCCTCGTCGGGCTCGCTCCGGGTTGAAAAATTTCGCTAATTCCACTTCAAAGGCGAACGGATTACGGCCATCGTCGGGGATCACCGCGAGATCGCGAAATCGGGCCCGACTCGTCGGCTGAGTAAAATCGTGATAACCGGCCGACGACTCGCGCTCGCTCTCGCTGGCAAGAAATGAGATACGCTGTTGAAATTTGGCACGCTACCAAACGCCACCGCAGCTTTCGGCCGTCTGCCTTCTACACTCTACAAACTATGCACGTCGCGCTGATGTATTATATTCTGCGTTATCAAACCGCCGCCGCCGCCGCCGCCGCGCGCGCGCGCGCATGTCGCCGCGCTCCGGCGACTTGATTTCGCGTTTCATAATAAATTCCGCAGATAATTATCTCGCGATATCATCCGGCACCGGGGTGTATTTTCATATTTACGGCGGATTTTTCCACGGCTCTTCTTAATCGACGCTCCAACACGGATCGAGTAATAATTTTAATCGACCATCCCGATAAACGTCCGAACAATTTCGCGATTATTCGCCGGTATTATTCGCGTTATCGCGTAATTTCGCGCGCTGCGCGAAGGGCGAGAACAGTGCAGTGCGGCGACATACGGCATGACGTAAAGTATAAATCCTGCGTCGCGGCGGCTGCTCGCTCGCGATATTCGCTCGAGCATCTGGAACTCGTGGCTTCGGTATTTGAATAAATATGAAGTCGCGATGTGGCATGGGTAAAGAGAGCGGAAAAGGAAGAGAGAGAGAGAGAGAGAGAGAGATGCGGGTACGGGTAAAAGGGTCGTCTGCGACGCCTCGTTCTATTTTACGCCATTGTGATACCGCAGCCCCCTTCGCACTTCGATTTCCTTGAAAGCTTTCAAGGAGGCGGAACGCGCACTCCTCTCTCTCTCTCTCTCTCTCTCTCTCTTTCGCGCGCGCGCTCTTGTCGAGCTCGCAAAGACGGCTGATTAATGCTTCCACTCGTTAAGTCGGCGGATAAGTTGGCCTTTGAAAGGTCAATATTTCGATGAGAAGTGGCCGCCGCAACCACCGCATTCTTACGTCCGAGTAGCGTAATTTATCGCGCGATTAGCTCGGATTCCGTTCGTCGAAGTAATTTGCGTTCGGCTGCGGAGAAAGAGAGAAAGGGAGAGAGAGGCAGAGAGAAAGGTAGCTCGATCTCGCTTTATTAACGGAACTTTATGACCTGCCGTCGAGAGCGAGAAACTTAGTAAAGGGGAAAAGGCAGTAAGGAGAGAAAGATCCTCTCCTTACTCTCCGCCGACGCGCGATAAAAGTTCATATTCTCGAATATTTTTTTTTTTTTATAAGAAAAACGCGCAACCTTCGTGACGATTATCCATGTAATGCCATGCGCGGTTCAACAATTGTCTCCGTGTGACCACGCGCTCGATGTTTCTCGCTTCTCTCGAGAGACAGACAAAGAGTTAGAGTAAGAGAGTGAGAGAGAGAGAGAGAGAGAGAGAGAGAGAGAGAGAGAGAGAGAGAGAGAGAGAGGGTGGAGGGGGGAGAAAAGAAAAGAGCTCGGCAGCTTCTCGGAAGTGGGCGACGGAAAAGAGTTCGTGTTCGGAAATTGCGAATCGCGAATTTAATTCCGGACATTAATTCGCGACACGCGAGCTGGCGAGCAGCAACTTTAACTCTATTGATCTCCATGTAGCGGTTAATCTAATTACCATTAATTATGCTTTTGATCATTAGCGGTTTTAATTAGAAAGATATTAATTAATTTCCAACCACGCCACGACCACGGTACTAAATCTCTCTATATCCAAGGCCGGAATTAAAAGAAAGGGAAACGAGAAAGACAGAGGAAAGATAAACTACAAAGATTCGCACGGATCGGTAATTGAAGTCACGCACGACGTCGGCGAAATCGACGATGTCGGAGATTGGAGATAATGTACGATCATTTTTCGATTTCTCGGTGACGTTTTTACGATAGACAGAGAGAGAGAGAGAGAGAGAGAGAGAGAGAGAGAGAGCGCTTCATTCGGTCTTTTCAGCCGTTGATGACCTCCCGCCTTCGATTTTGATTGCAGCACCGGCAAGAGCGACGAGTCAGGTTCTCCTGGGCGAAGTCGATATTACGCTTCGGGACGACAGCGACAGCGACGTCACGACGGAAGAGCCGTTTCCTAAAAAGTGCATCGTAGACGGGAACGCCTATTCTCACAGCCAAACGGTAACGACCGATAGAACGTACCGAGAGAAAGAGAGAGAGAGAGAGAGAGAGAGAGAGAGAGAGAGAGAGAGAGAGAGAGAGAGAGAGAGCGCGCGAGAGGTAGAGAGGAAAAAAGGCTCTCGACGGGAAAACTCGTTTCGAGCACTTCCTCGAAAAAAACGCCGGAGTCTGTATCTCGATCGTTCCGCGGAAATTTGTGAGGGGGATGTTGCTAATTTGACGGAGCATCGAATAAAATGAACATTTTGTATTCTTATCGCGTGTTGAACTTACAAAAGAACATCTTCTCGAGGGCGATAAAATACGGTCGCGTAATTGTTTTTTGGAAAAGTTTTTTTGAGAGAATGAGAGGGGGAGAGAGAGAGAGAGAGAGAGAGAGAGAGACCAAATGAAAAGAGAGGAAAATAGCATATCCTTAGTAATTTCGGGTGTAGATATATAATCGTTAAAGTGAACTGCGCCGCTTTTAGCGTTTTACGCGGAACGCTCCACTCGCAATAACCGCGTGTCACTATTTTCAACGTGCGCCGCTAACAGATCGCACGTCTGGCAAATTGGTGCTTACAACGTGTAACTGGGAACCGTTTCAATTGTACTTGCAGCTGACGAGTGATATTTTTATCTCTTTTTTTCTTTCGTCTCTCTCTCTCTCTCTCTCTCTCTCTCTCTCTCTCTCTCTCTCTCTTTTTTTTATTTCCTTTGCTCGGAAAATTCCGTGAATCGAGGTCTTCGTTATTTGCTGCGCGTTTTGCAATTCCTAAATTTTGCTTGTATCATCGATGCCAGGCCGATCTCGCGCTACCACGCGACCTAAAGTCGTTCCTCGTCGTCGTTCTCTGCATGCATTTTCTCGCGCCTTGTTAATTCGTCGATTTATCTTCCAAATCATTTGGATGCAATTGATACCTGCACGACCGTTTCTCGTAAATGTTACACCACGTCCCACGGCGTACACTGCCCGTCTAATTAGTAACCGGCACCTCCATCTAATTAGTAACCCGAGTTAGTAGCTTATAAAGCGAGGAGTGTCAGGCGAAGAGGTCGCGTTTCTCGGCGGAAGTTTGTCCTGCATCGGGATGAGTGCAGCGCGAATATTGTTTCGCCGCTTCAGCGCATCTTACTCTTTTTCAGAATTTCTCGAGATGGAGGAAAATTAAGAATAAAAATTTATACACGCGTGCCCAGTACGCTGTTTTTCTTCGTCTCGTGTTTTACACATATTCGCGTTAATTTAATTTCCAACTAGGCGGTCAATTTGCGTCATCGTGTTGCTGTAATTCAAAAGTGGATATATACGTGTGGGATCCTTTGCCCTTTTGCTACTTTGCGTTCCTTTTTATCTTTCAGATACCATCTTACGACACGAATTCGCATTGCCTGTGCGTGGCCGGCGAGGTTTACTGTTGGTGGCAGAATTATAATCCGAGCACCGTGCCGTCGCTCGGCCCGTCTTCCCTGCAATCGACCACGGTGGAGAGTAATTACACACCGTCGCTGGAAGCGAGCACGGACATTGCGGACGGCTTCGAAGCATCCGGGGATCCTGCAGCGGCGAACTCGTTGATCGGCCAGCAAGGTCACGTGGAGATTAACGCAACTTCGGCGACCGCGACACCTTCCGCGCCGACTACTTGCCTCGTCATGGGTATATTGAATTTCTCCCACTTTATATGTCCCTTCTAATATATTTTATCCCCGACATTTTTACGTGCTCAATGATAACCGCGCTTCTCTCACGTGTAGCGAATTACTCCCGGCTGAGAACCGCGCATAATCTCGAAATATTAGATCTAAAGAGCGCGCGTTCTGTTACTACTGTCGTAAATTTTTATTATTTCCTGTACACACACACACACACACACACACACGTACGCGCGCGCGATAAAGTTTCATTGCATTGCGAAGAATTTTGCATAATTTATTTTTCGATTTAGGCGCTGTAACGCTGTTATCGCGTGTGTGTATTTATTATAGGACGCGCGGCTGTTTTACTCGCGTGAAATTTATTTTCTACTTCACGTCGCTCGGAATATTTGCTTTTACACATACGCCTCGTGTATGTGTGTGCCACGGGCGCGCGCACGTATGTGTACATACGCGACGTACATGCTTTCCCATGCGAAATCCGTATTCGTGAGACTTGAATTACAGGGAGGGAGTATCGACAGGGTGAGACTCTGCCGCATTCGACCGGGAACTGCGTGGAGTGCAGCTGCGGCTCCGAAGGGCGCGTCGAATGCTCGCCGAGGGACTGCGTGGCGCTACGGCCCGAAATTTTGGTCGCACCGGACATACCCGAGGCACCGGACGGCGACTTCGAAGTTTTCAACTTGGCGCGGGATCGGGGCATCGACGAGAGTTTCTAGAGTTTCGGGGATAACGACGAGCGTCGTCGCCGAACCGCGCGCGCATAACTCCCTTCGCCTTTAACTACCGTCGTTCACGTCGGCGTGAGCCGCCGACCAATAAGAGGCGGTTGTTTAATTAGATCGGCTCTCGAAGGCGGTTTAAAGGATGCCAGATAAAATTGATTCCTGACAGAAGGCGGAGGTGGACGCGCGCCCGCGCGTCTACCTTGCGAAGAATATTGGATGTTCAGCGACTACCGAGCGACGAGGAAACAAATCCAAAGCTACATAATTGACCCGCAGTTCTAGTCTGGTGATTTCATGGTGATGATTTCATGGACGACCGAGTGAAATCCCCATCGAGAGCCGTCTAATTTAAGGTCTATATATATATATATATATATGTAACGTTCACCTTGACTGTGTAACCCCTCATATTTAAATTACAAAGTGATTTAAGTATGATGTCATATACTCGTAGAATTTACGCTCAGCGTTTTTCTGTGTTATTGTTACATAGTCGAAGATTACCCTCCCTCCTTTCACTTTTCTAACGTAGAGAAGAATCGCCCTCGCCCTTCCTCGCCCTTCTGTCTCCCCCTCTCTCGATTGTGCGGACGTGCCTTCAGTCTCTCGTCCCACGTCGTGGACGTACTCAATCAAAAACGGCGTCGAAGGCATAGTCCCCGCGTAGAACGCCTAGCGTAGATCTTTTTCTATAAAGTCCTTGCGCGACACGGGTCGTCTTGGCCAGCGCTGGTGCGACCGGCGCGGCGCCGCCCGAGACGATCGTTTCCGCTGGAACGAGGTGAGAACGAGGAGCCAGTTCGGCCGAACGTTTTTTTTATGTAGATGGCCTCATTGATAGTTTTCTCGAGTGCGCTAGAGTCGATTAGAGATTGACTATCTCCTCCGCCTAGAATGCCGATGATTTAGTAATATTCGCTCTCGCCTGTTTTCGCGATTTCTCGGGGAACCGACTCCCAGTGTCTTTCTGTGTAAATATTGCGTGCGATTGCTTCCCATTGCGATAACGACCCACCTCACTCGGTTTCTCGACCTGTAGATACGTCTCGTAGTTTTTTTAGCGATTTACCGGAGAGGTATAGAAGTGCATGTATCGTGTAGAAGAACCGCGGAGAACACATTCGCCGCGCGGACTCGACGAGAGAATGTTTTTGTAGACGTCGGCCTATAACCTACGAATTAACTAATCTCGCGCGCGCATAGTGCGTAAATCGGCTCGGGCTCTCATTCGCGGGCCGGCACTTGCGACGAGAAACGATATTATTGAGCTTAGTTGTTATATTAGTCGTTACCGCGAGACAATTGGTCTCGTGAGACTCGATAATACTCTCTTCGTCATATCTCTGTCATATCCTAGTCGATCCGTACTCGTATCCTAGTCACGATCGTATAATTTAACTCGCCTCGCCGTGTTTAATCCTCTTCGGACCGCAGTTTCCTTTTCCATTGAATAAGATTCTCTCCGCGGCGCTGTGCAGCCTGTTTGTCACATACTGCTGCTGCTGCTGCTGCTGATCACATGCAACATGATCGTGTCGAGTCTTGATAAAAAGAAAAAGTTCAAGCGCTGGAATATTTTTTGCACGAATCAAGGAACCAAACTTTCGCGCGTTTTATAGACCCGCGCGGAGTTTCTAACAAAAGTGCAGCGCATACACAATTGAAAGTTGGTGATTTTTAAGAAAAGGTCCGATGAAAGGATTAGATACGCAAACTGTACGACTATATAGCCATGTTATATACCCTTATACACATATATGCGATCGAATAACGCCAACGAATATCGAGAAACCCCCTAGTGACAGTAGATGACCCGATAAACGAGCGATAGAAATATTTGCAGGATTTACAGCCGTGTGTAAATCCTTTCCTTCATGTACCGTGCTATTTAACGACGAGGATCTGTTACATACGAGGATCAAGTACACCGTTGACCCGTATTTTCGTCGCGTATTAAGCTCGAAGCGTGAACGTTGTCCAGTCGAATCACACTGGTTTTATGCGAATCTCGTGTTTTGTGTGAAAAAACAAATATTCGGCGTCGCAACCACGACCGCGCGTCTGGCGCACTGAATACGCGGCGAATTTACGAAGTCGAGATGTGGAATTATTGTATTGTCAGAAAGAAGAAAACTAACGAATCCCCCGACGCATTCGAATGGATATGCACTATATTATATATATTATATATTCATATACATACATATATCATATATAATATACACAACACACACACACACACACACATATATATACACGCACATACACACGTATTATATAGGATACCTGAGAAAGCAAGTATTAAGAGGCAACGTTGCATGTAACCCGCGTACGGTAAAGTGGAATTAGGAGTAACTGAACGAAACCAGTTTTATATAGGCAAGAACCAACCATAGTCGTTTACTTTTATAGTCGCACACGCGTACAAAAGTCACAGACGCATACACACACACACACACACACACACACATACATGTACCCCGCGTTCGGTTTTTTGTAAATTGTCCCTTAGCGTTTCGGAGATCGTGTGCACATGTACTTCCTGCGGACTCGCGGTTGCGCGAGCGTCCGGGCATCACTTTTGTAATCGTATAGGTGACAGCGACGCGGTGATTTGTAAGCGACTTTGTTAAGCAGATGAAGAATCGTATTTCCAGAGTATTTTATCATATCGGGAAGAGGAAAAAAGAGAAAAATTATTCCCCGACACGAGGTAGTCGTAACGAGATAAGTTTAGCGTCTCCCGTTTGTGCGTAGGGAACCACGACCACTGTGCGAGAAAGTGACGTCGACGGGACTGTAGTAGTTGTACACTTTTACGGCGACGACGACGACGACGACGACGACGGTGAAATCGATCGTTTATAGATAGTCGCGTAGATAGGTAGTCTCCAATGTGATATATACATCCCGAGGATAACTTTGTCTAACGATTTACAACTTTAGGTCGGCGAGTTTGATCTTTTTGCCTAAGCTGACGGAACGTGTCTGGTACCGCGACTCATTTCACTACAAAGGGATATCATGTTCGCGCGATAGATCGCTCACTCGTTATTCCCGAGGATAAAGGAACGAAGAATTAGGTCTCCATCTGCTGTCTCGTAGGAATTTGTCTCAAAAAGAATCGGTGACTCTGTGAATCTATCCTTCTCTCCCTTTCCGTGATCCACGGTGAGACACGAGTCGAAGTAGGTCGGACGAATTTTCGCAGAGAGTAAAAAAAAAAACTGCGTATATACTTGTCTCGTATTCGGGAATTGATTTTAAACCTCTCCAGACTCTAATCGTAATTCTTGAGCGATACACTTTTGCCATTCTCGGTCGTCCCTTGCGAGAATCAAAATTAATAGCTAAGGGTAGAGAACGCAAGATGCGGCCTTCTATTCGCCTGTCTCCCTTGCGGCGAACATTGGTATAACGTGACATATCAGTTTCATCTACTTGTTCTTTCGATTAGCGCGCAGTTTCTACAAGCGGCATATATCGATAACGTACGCTGGATTGTTACGAGGAAGGAATGAGGAAGGAACGGTCGGCACCGAAAAATCGCGCCGTCGACGTATCGCGGAGTCTCACGGAAGTGATATTTTTGAATACCCCTCTTTACAAGGAATTAGTTGTGGGAATTAGTTGGTAGAACACCCCCCCCTTCCCACCCACCCACCCACCAGCACCAATTACGGACAATCCATATTCGTCGAGTCGACCACGAGTAGAACACCCTTCCCCCCCTTAGCGGACTCGTAAGATTTTTTAGAGAATTCGTTGTAAGAAGTTGAAGGTGGCACATCAACGGGACCATCTCGATGGAAATGAGCGGATCATCCGTTATTGCTTTCGTTCGCGCACCTAAGTAACGATCTCGTACGTCTTCCAGTCATCTCCACGCGCAATTGTGTCTATATTGTATTCCTGGGATTACATGTCTTCACGAAAGAGTTGTACTCTGAATAAACAAGGATCTCACGATTCGCGATGGCTGTTCGTACTTCATCACCGTCTCCATGCCCATCCTTTATTCTATGTCGACAATTATATGTGTGTATATATATTTTATAATGATTATACATATTATTGTGTCGGTTTTCTTCTTTCTGTATGAACTCTTTTTCTTATTATATTTTAATTGTACATTTTACGTTGAGTGAAAAATGTAATCTTGTTATTCGAGAATTGTTTGAGCGAAAATCTCTCGAAGTTTATTATTTGTAACGACAACTTGTTAGCATGCATGTGCATTATCTTTTCCGCACAAATTAGTATTGAAATATGCGCAGAATTCGAAATATATCTGCAAATGAATTGCGCGATTATTAAGCGAGGATACGTGGAGTCACTCGGGATTGTATAATCGCAGCTAATTCCGATTCAAACATGATTGGTGCGATTCCGAATTAGAGGTTAAGTCTCTATACTATGAACTTGGTCACGTTAGGTCTGTTCTTTACAGTTGCACTTTCTGTACTATCTTGCAATCTTTCTCTTCTCCTCTCTCTCTCTCTCTCTCTCTCTCTCTCTCTCTCTCTCTCTCTCTCTCTTTCACCAAGCATCAAGTACATGTCTACTTTGTTCTAAGTGCAGTATAACCTAGTGCAGTTACAAAAATATGTTTTATATATTCCTGTTGTGAAAAGGAAACAATTTTTAAATTGTGAATATGTGATATTCTCAAATATTTATATTCAGGAGATTTTCCTGAAATCAAGTCTATTATATCACAGCAACATTGAGGAAATGCTGTTAGAATTTGTAAGATTTGTTTATTATGCACTTTCATGATGTAGGTATATGTATTTGATTTGAGCATGATTTTATTAGCTGAAGAATCTTTTATCCTGCATGTGATCCTGCGAAAAATTTAACTATTGTGGAAACTTTTCTAGTGATAAGGTCGTATATGATAAGCGGTCGTAGTTGTTAATATAAATTTCTGCTCCATCCGCTGGTACTACTTATCATCCTACACTAGGAGCAGATAATGATATCAGAAGATTAGGTAATCAGTACATTGATAGTACCATAAAATTCCATTGCTATCAGACTTTTTTTGCCTTTTTCTAAATTGATTATCATATTACTGTGTATGCTTTTCCTGTGGTGCCTATAAAGGGGGATCATTGTTTTCAGTGGACTACTGAGAAGCCTTAGTATAACGATGGAGAATAGTAGTTTACTAGAAACTGAACAGGATAGAAGTGAGAGAATGATAGACAGTGAACCAAATAAGTTAGAGACTCAACAAAATGAAAGTGATGAGATAGTAAGGGGTCAGTTGAGTAAATTAGAGACTGAAAGTGATGGGATGATAAAAGATGAGCCAGATAAACCAAGAGAATCAAAGCCCTTTGATACAATGTTGGATTTATACCACGTTTTGGACAGATTAATACCATATCCAGAGACCGATATTGTAGAGTCTGTAGATTTTACATACCGAGGATCAGAAATTGCCAACAAAAAGACTCACCTACAAAAAATAGATAAGGAGAAAAGTCCTAGGACAATAGTCTGTCATGATATGAAAGGCGGTTATTTGGAAGACAGGTAATATTCACATATATTCATGGTCTGCCATATAAATTGAAATGAACATGATCTGAGTTAATCACTTGCAAAATATTATTTTTTCGTCTTATTTTTCTTTACAGATTCTTCTGGGGCTCAACTTCTCATGATTCCTACTTATTTTACAATTGGTACGCAATAGACACATTTATTTACTTCAGTCATCATTTTATAACTGTTCCACCTTATGGATGGATATGTGCTGCCCATAAACATGGTGTGAAAATATTGGGCACCATAATTACGGAGGAAAATACATCTGTATATGAGTTCTGGCAAAGTATCGTCGAGTCATACGACAACTTGCAAGCGTTCGCGGATGCTCTAGTGACTCTTACAAAACGATACGGATTTGACGGTTGGCTTTTAAACTTTGAGACCAACTTTACAAAGAATGATTTTCGTCCATCACAACCATTAAATCATGTGGTAGATAAAGTGCTTTATTTTGTTAAGTATCTGACTGAGACCCTTCACAAAGAAGTTGAGAACTCTGAAGTTATTTGGTATGACTCATTAGTCAAAGTTGGTGCTTTAGCATGGCAGAATGAACTCAACGAAGAAAATAAGTAAATAATACTTATTCCTTAGTACATTCTACATATTTAGCTCTTACAATAAATCTCAATAATTTATCTTCATTACAGAGATTTCTTCTTAAATTGTGACGGTATATATTTAAACTACCAATGGACGAAAGATCACCTCGACAGAACTAATACATTGGTGAAGCAGTTAGGTCGCGACGTCAGAGATGTTTACGTAGGATTGGACATTTTTGCGAGAGGCACTTCAGGTGTAGGCGAGTTCAATTGCTCAGATGTAATTATTAATTATATTTACCGTAATTATTGATATAAAAGAATTTCCCATAGGCGAAATAATATAGAGAAAATAAATGTTTATTCACAGGCGTTGGATGCGATACGGAAGTATAACTTTTCCGTTGCCATCTTTGCACCGGGTTGGACGCACGAGCACTTTGGACCGAACCACTTTAACATAGTAGACGACATATTTTGGACGTTATTGTTCCCATACTTGCATATACATGTGCCGATCTACGAGGATGAAACATTTCGGTCTACCTTCTGTCGCGGCGCCGGCACGTGTTATTATTATAACGGCCAGGTAAAACTGAACTATTATTAAAATATCTGTCTTGCCAAGTCAGTTGGAAATGTACGATTTAAAATTTGCGAAACGCGTTCATGTTTATATAGGAGCATTCTTTGCCAGAGAGATTAAACGAAGGGAAGGGATTTTACGAACTTCGATTGCAACAACCACAGCTCTCGGTACCTGTGCGAATTTTGGATTTGAAGAACACAACATACACACATCTTATAGCAGGAAAATCTGCGGCTGATAAAACCATCAAAATCCTCGAAGAAGATGATGCAGATATTGGAGATGATATTAAAACGCCCATGACGCGAATAGAAGAACTGTACCTAAAATGGTGGCATATTATAGAAGAGAACGAGAACCTCACGGATAAGTCGATAGTTCTTCGAGGGAACACCTTCGAGTATTGCGAAGATTTCTCTTATGAAGGTGGCGGGTGCTTAAGGGTGATTACCCGAAATGAAAAGCTCTATCACAGGTGAGAAGAGTATTTTCTTTATTATATATACTTGTTGTCACAATTATATTTTATTATTATATTTATAATTATTTTTTACCCAAATAACGGTTTCCACGACAAAATTATATCGTTGTCATGGTGAAGTATACTTATCATTTAATAACTGAAATGACTTCGTGTTGCTGTTGCAGGTTGTTCCTCGTTTACGTCAATTTCAAGCTGTATATTCAGGCGAGCTTAGTTTACGCGGAAGCCGAGACCAACGCCTCGACGCGCGAACCTCCCATTCTCATTCTCGGCAGAAACAGCGCTTTCAAAGCCATCCAACCTTACGACCACAGCAGGGTGAACGACAGATGGTGGAAATGGTAAGTACGACGAATCGGGCGATCCGACGATAACAACTGCAACGCTCATTAATTAGCCGTCACGATATAATCGGCTTTTTTACAGCACGTACTTGACGGACTTCAAGACCGTGGACGAGATCGGCGTGCTGTTTCGGAGGAATTGCGTGTGCTACCTGGGCGAAGTCGTCTTGGACAAGTACGATCAGATCTTCGGTAAGTAGGAGCGTAAACACTCCGATCGGATTACGTAAGTGAACGATCGCAGCTAGCAGACAGCCACGGGCGATCGCGCATAGCAGGTGGATTGCGTCACGATAAAAGTATATCGCAAGGCGCAAGGCTCTCAAGCGCGTGAAGAACCGTTCCTTAGCGATCACACCCTAGGTTGCCCTCCTCTGCCTTCTCCGCCTCGTCGCCGTCGTCGTCGCCGGTCGATCGAGAAGCCGCTTCGGTGAAAGGAACACCGTTGTTCCATGATAGACCGACCGAACGATCGAGTGAACAAACCAACGACCGACCGACCGATCGGCCAGCCAGCCAGCCAGCCAGCCAGCCAGCCAACCAACCAACCGGTCGGCTCCTACGTTCGATCTTACAATCGCTCGGCATTCCAGCGGGCCACGTGCGAAATCGCAAACAGTTTCACGCGTTAATGATACCGCTGGAGACGGCGAACGAGCGCTCGCTCCTCGCCGGGGCGCGTTTCAATGGCAGAGCAAATATCTCTGCAGCGTTTTACGCGGCGTTTCCGCTTCTGTTACAAGGATATCTGCATTCCGCGGCCGGCGATTTTCACCGACGCGCATTATCGCTTATCGTCGGGCGGATGCAAATTCTGTCGTGGAGTCCGCGACGAAGAGGATCGCCGTAGCCCGGGCGAGTCGGACGAATCGTCGGTGAGCGCTCGTTCGCGGCTCCCACGCTGCCGGCGAACGGTATTATTCGCGCCACGGAGGGGACGAAGGAGGGCACGCGGGCGGCGCGCGTTTATTATTATTATTGGCGCATCGATACGCGCGCGCGTGCCACCTACCTGTTGGGAGATGCGACATACATATGTTCGATTGCATCGGGACTCTTCTCCATTAACTCGCCGACGCTTTCTAATGCTTTGCGCAATTAACGACGCGGCGAAGTGCGTGCCTCCCTCGCGCGAGCCGCCGCGCGCGTTCCACATCGCCGGCGCCGTCGTCCGCGCGGACGGGAGAAGAAATTCGACGACGAGAGCGGAGAGTTTCTCGAGCTCTCGTTCCGATCGGTCGGGAAACGAATCCGACCATGAATCGGATTGTGACTTTTCATCGTTTGGATTTTCACGATTTCTCACGACAGAGTCGCCGCGAGAATCGGTCTCGTGCGGAATGACGACGACGCGATGATTCCGAGAGCAATCAGCATATCGCGTAATCAGCTATTCCGGTGTGTGCAGTAAGAGGAAATTAGAATCGTGGCTCAAATTGTTATGACGAATTGACGATTGGGGAGGAGGAGAGGAGCAGAAGGCATAATTTAATGTTTTAA